AAGGCATGAGCGGTTCTGTCTGAAGCCGTGCTGCAGGTCTGAGATTAAATGGCCCTGCTCCAGGAACTCCATTGTTGCTTTCTTAACTATGGCCTCCATTATTTTACAGCAGATACAGGTTAGACTAACAGGCCGGTAATTGTTAGCGTAGGTGCGGGCCCCGCTTTTGTACATCGGAAAGATATTTGCTGTCTTCCAATCCGATGGCAGCCTCCCCAATTCGAATGACGAGTGGAAGATGTCCGCCAGTTCTTTCAAGAATTTGGCCGGTATATTGTCCGGATCCGAGGATTTTGCTTTCTGGAGATTTTTCAGCTCCCTATCCACGAAATCAGTCGGAAGGAGTATGGAGTCAATCACGGGACCAGCAGTCTCAACAGCATTGCTAGCACTAGGACTGCGAAACTCTGTTTCTCTAGTAAAAACCGAGGCAAAATACTGTCCTAAGTGTTCGGCTTTCTCGCTGTTCTCAGTGATCTCTCCAATATTATCATCCTTCAGCACCGCGACCGGGTCCTTATTTTTCAGTCTACTGTTCAGATAGTGAAATAAAATCTTAGGCCTCTGTTCATCCTGTCGGAAATTTTGGATTCACACTCCTTCCGTGCCTGACGGATACATTTTTTGACGGCATTTCGTCGACGACGAAATTCTTCGAAATGGGCTGCGGACGCAGTTTCCCTGAATAATTTCCATCTTTTGCTTTTCTTCCGTAGCTGCCTATGTAGTTCCCTACTTAACGAAGCAGGTCGACTAGTTGTTTTTTGTACTTTAGATGGACAACAGTGCCTAATCAGATCGAGTGAAATCGTCTTAAAAGATCTCCAGTCGTCCTCCGGATCTCCTCTGAGTAATTGGTCCCAATTCACAGACAGTAATTCGTTCCTCATCGTATTAAAATGTGCCTTCCATATATTAGGTTGGCCCTCTGTTCTCTTCTGGCGTTTAAAGAAGAACGAGAAATCCCATAGTAGCGTAGTATGGTCACTTTTCCCGAGAGGTGCATTGGAATACACTTCGTCGATATTGGAGAAGTCTTTAGTGAAAACAAGGTCTAGACAATTCGCTCTCTGGTTCTCTCGAAATCTTGTTGGTACCTCCACATGTTGCGCCAGAGGAAGGTCGAGTGTGAGGTCCAATAGCTTATTGCTGAAAGAGGCTGATCCACCGTTAACTGCCATAGTTTCCCACTCTATTGCAGGTGCTTTGAAATCCCCAGCAATAAGTACCTCTTGGTGGCTAGCTACGTCTTTGACTAAACCAAGGAGCGACTCATCACTTGCACTCAGAAGGTTTGTTGGTATGTAAATCGCCAGAAATTCTAGATTTTGTGCATTACTCTTCTTTATCTTTATCCAGACGAATTCATATTCAAGGGAGAGGGTGTGGGCTCTTTCAACTGCTGAAATTCCTTCCCTTACATATACGAATAACCCTCCGCCCTGCCTATTTTGACGATCTCTACGAATCAGCTGGTAACCCGGTATCGAAAGCTCAGCATCCAAGATTTCGGCATTAAGCCAAGTTTCCGTTATGGCGATGACGTCGGGGATTTGTTCTGGTACTATCGCTTTGAGTTCTTCAATCTTCGAAAAGAGACTTTGAGCATTGGTATACAAAAATCTCAATTTGGCACGAGCAACTCCAGCATACAGTCGTTCATCCATTTCCTTGGATTGAATGCAAAAGCCGGTCTGAGCTCGTCGGGATGAACTGCTTTCCATCGCTTCTAAGCTTTTAGAGTTAAGGGCTTTCTCCAAAGGAATCGCCTCTGGACGCGTATAATTTTTCTGACCACCATTCTGAGATTTGTCTCGCCCAGACTCGACCGCCTGAGGACTTCCAATTTGAGCCCCCTCCATTTTTCTCGCTCTGCGGGCGAAAAGTCCAGCTGAAAAAAACTAATGGATGGGCATGTTTAAGCGCAACTTTCCTGCTTAAATGTAGCTGCGCTTGCTTGTCATTCTCAAAGACAATTTTTAACGGTCTCTGTCGGTGTGGTTCATGTTTTGAGTCTTTTATCTGGCCCATCCTGAAAGCCGTTCATACTGTGACTTTCTGGCCTTTTATTAAGATCGATTTGAGATATTCCTGGAATATTTCTATGTCATGTTGTATTCTGTCCTTTGGAGTGTCGGAAACAGACTTAGGCATGCCCTTTATAACGATGCATTTACTGCGATTAACTAGACGGCCTTGTGGTTTAATCATGCCCGCAGAGTCTTCAGCGCATGCATCCCGGCTACAACCTTCCACCGATTTAGGAAGGTTTGATTCAGCAGGATTAACGCATGACTGCCTGTTTACTACGATCTTTTGGTCATTTTTTGTTTTCAGCGACGCTATTTTCGTCTGCTGCATAGCCGACTCTTGTTCCTCTGTCTGATTATCTGTGCCTTTTCGAGGTACCCTGAGATTTCTTTTTGTTCACTGAAATCACGTCTGACCGCGCTTTTCTCGCACAAGACACTGGTTGTCATTCCTATCAAGGTCTTGCGACCTACTATTTTCTTCCTCCTCCGTCGACACAGCCGAAGAAGCCGTGTTTGCGTATGTTCGCTCGCTTTCCTTCTCTTTGAATGAATAGCGAGGGTGGATAGCCCAGGTGGAGAAAGGAGAGATTGTTGTAGATGTTACGCAACTCTGCTCTTATTATAAACTTAAAAATGTGCAAGTCCCCGTGCTTGCATTAGCTTGTTGTGAGGCACATGGTGGACATCGTCGAATGCGGCGGCCGAGCTATCACCGCTTTTATTTTACGTCAGTGTCTGCATAAATGGATTTTTTTGAGGGAGTCATTTTGGCAGATGACATTTTAGGCATGGCGAAGGAGCAAATGCAGGATTGATAAAAGGAATCTCCAGAAAGAATTAAACTGCTTATGTGGATGGTCCGATAAACGGTTGCTGAGGTTTAGACTTGGAAATATGTGCTGCTTTGCAGCAAAAATGAAGACGAAAATGACAAATTGAGACTTCCTTGATTAAAGGTGCCTGTCAAAAGTAACTTAACAAAAGTGACCTCGAAATCACGACTTTGTCGTCTCTGAAGCCCTCCTCTCAATGCACAGGCCGGCCAAAAGAACAGCTAATGATCGCTTTGTCATTTAAAAACTTTCATAGGTTTAGTTAAGGAGCAATCTGAAAAAGCCTGCAAGTCGTAATTGTTTACAAATGGAATATGTGGAAAAATAGAAAGGGTTTATCATAGTTCCTCTTTGGCATTGTCAGTCTCCTTTGAAGGCAGGAAAAAGAAGCTTAACCAAACTCATTAACTTCGGCTGCCCTTTGACAACATTTTTTTGCTTGTCTGCATTTTTATTGGCTTACAAAGGAAGAGGTTGTTTTAATTTAAACGACCTGCGATTTAAGGCATGTATATTGAATGAATAATTTTAAATAGGACCTTCAAAGGCACTGAGTAATAGCTTAACATATACTAGAACTTCATGACCCCAGGAAAATTTGGAGAGTCATCTGAACTGAATTTGTCGAAGAACGTTTGCAATCGAACTCAAACCAACACAGATAGTGGTCGAATAACCGGTTTGAATCGTTTTACGTGAAAAATTTGTCGGAACCAGATATCCGAATAGCATGGTTTACCGCCCGAATGGTGTTCCATTACAAGAGGGCACGTCGAGGAGGACTTGAGTGTGCTGATCATGACTTCCCCCATAACGTTGCCACAGTGGTCAAAAGGTAGCCAAGACGACGGTATCACTCCTGTATCTCGTCAAAATGGCTTTCTCATCCAGCGATGAAGACTACTTTGCCTAAGTGTTTCGAATGCTTGTATGGCATTTAGCTGCAAATTCTTAACCAAGTAGGGAACCACTTGACTGCTCGGATAGTCAACACTCAGGAGAAGATCAAAGATCTTCTACCAAACTTACAGCAGGACAGGACTCACTGCCCTATAGAGCACGGTTGAATGATCTCGACCTCCTTCCTTTGAGTTACAGGCGGCTTTATGTGACTTGATACAAAATTCCGCATCAGCCGCGGTCAAGACTACTGTTTGGCTCTTGGAGACTTTATCGGGTTAGCAACTACAACCAAACTAACATGTCATCCACTCGACATATGTGTGACTGTGGCTATCCTTGATACTCAGAAGTTTTTCCGTCTCCACCGCAGTGACCAAAGCTTAGAATGCTCTGTCTGAGAATGTTATTATGTCCGGGGGCAGGGAATAATATGAAGCTGGATCACTACAGCAGTACTCGGCATAGTGTCACCTGAGCAATGTAGCGTTAATGTCTCGTGTAAACAGGTCATTACTGTCACAGTTCTACTGTACACGTATAACATGTTTATTCATTGGATTTTCTCGTTGTCCAAGACTCAGCTTACATATCCACTGACAGTCACTATGACACTTCTAGATAAGAAAGATCGTAATACTTTTGCTGCGACATAATAACCTCTTTGAGTACTACTGTGCAACGTATCTTCGGGCACATATATATCTGCCATTGCCACTAGCACCTGAAATAGCCCGTCTCTCTGTAAACTTTAACACTCTCCTGCAATTGTTAGATGATCATTTTTCCGAATGCGTGATATATTTCCACGGATCTTAACAAATAGTGTGTTCATTTAACGCATTGAACTGACCTTGGCAGGTAAAGAATTGCGGACTTGATGGTATCAGAAAACTGCAAAATGGTTATAGAATAAGAAACTAAAAACTTGCACCAAGTTAAACGTGTGTATTGATAATTTCTACCCAAACTCCTTGGAAGGTGCTTTGGTGACTTCGTATAACCCCATGTAAACTAAGGACTGATGACGTGAACAACAAACATTTAGTAAGATGTTTATTTCTTAAAATGGCACACCCCTTAGCTACAATGACGGCCGGGGACCCTAAAAATGTCTTCTATCCAACTAGGTCGTTAAACGTTGAGATATTCGTCCTACTTCACAGAAAAATAAGTTCCAGAATGTCTTGGAAATCCTAGATTATCCTCTCTTATGTTTGCTTTCCGTGACCAGAAGACTTGTGGTAGTTGTAAAGCACGATTGATCCACGTAGCCATCCACATAACGGGCGCAGACTCGTCGGAAGTGGTGAGATCGACAGAAAAAGGTTGCCTCATCAGGGGTCAGGTAAGATGGGTTGAGTTGAACAACCTTTACTGCTGGCGAGGTGCGTACAAAATGCTTCGCAAGCAGTCGCCGCGAACGCGCTCTCCAGGCAAGTTGTGTCCTCTGTAACCACCGTCGAGTCTCATAGAGTCCAGCGCGTATGTGCCTTTCGATCTGCCTTTGTTCTACCAGCCAATCAGAGAAGGGGCAGCGTTGATTGGCCTCGAGCGCTCGCGAGGCCACGGACGAGCCTCGTGAGTCCCGGCAGCGAGTCGACAGGATGCGTGAGGTGGACAGCAGAGCAGCACGACGCAGCGGCAGAGCAAGGAGCCGTGAACTGCCACAGTACCCCTCGGCTACACCAAAGACGGCGTGCAGCGACGCATGCGCGTTGGCAGCGCGGGCAGGTTGAAAGCGTCGGATGGTTGGCATTGATAACGCGAGACGCGTGTGATTTGTTGGTCTCTCATTCAGATTTGGCGGCCGCGATCCAACCAGCATCGCAGGTGACAGCGCCAGTCTTCAGTTTTCTGCCCCAAGCCGGTTTTTTCTGGATAGGGTCATCCATTTCTCTGGATTAATTTGCAGTCGCTTAGGAGAATTCTTCAATGTGTCTTTACAGCGTCGCATTGGGCTTCTTAGTCGGCGATAACCGGTGGCGACATCACTATACAAGAGTTGTTTTTGAAGACGTTTATCTTCCATCCTCTCCGACGTAGTTGCAGTTGTCACAGCACGGTCTGGATGCTGAGGATTCCGGTCTGCTCTAGAACTTTCTTGGCGGGATCCAATGTTTCCACCTCAGCCTTAGTATCCCGAGAAGGTAGTTCAAATGGATATGGTTGAGCTTCTTGGCATGGCTAAAGTAGGCGGTCCGGGTCTCCACTCCATATAAAAGTGTCGTCGGAAAGACAGTCTTGCACGTCTCCAGTCTGTCATGCAGTTGGAAGTCGTGGTGATCCCACACGGAGTTCTGCAGCCGTTTGAATGCTTGGCTGGCTCTGAAGATCCGGTCGGCCATGTCGTCGATTGTGATGCAATAATACACTATGCTGCCTAAGAATTTGAAGTTGTCCACGATCTGCGGTTCGGTGTCTGTGACTCAGACGTAAGGGATACTGTACTATGCGATCGGTGACCGTTGACGAATGATCACCGTCTTGTCCGTATTGATGGTCATTTCGAATTGGGGGCAGCCAGAGGCGAAGACTTTTCTGCTCCGTTGCACGTCATCTTCGGTTTTGCTTTAGGTGCGCAGTCGTCAGCGAAAAGCATAAAATGGATAGCAGTTGTGGACAGACACGAGGGGGATTGCATTCTTGGGCTGTTGAGTGGGTGCCGGCCTCTCCTGCAGTCGATAGGGAGTCCTATATTTCTCGCGGCTACTGTTGCGAGGGGGCGACAGTGGTAGAGGGCTGCTTTTTTTCGCGCCGATTGCAATGTCGAGGTAGGTTCTGTACAGCCAGTTCCTTTCGGCAAATAGGTTACTAGTGACTTTGTTGTCGTTGTCCAGTCAATCTCGGTGCGCGTCCGAAGACACCCAGGACGGTCAAACGTGCGGTGTCCCGTAGTTGGTGCCATCGAGCCTAAACGGAGGCGTTTTCACCTGAAGCCGAAAGCCCCTCCAAACGCTGAAGTAGTTGACTGCTGAACTGGGATTGGTGAGCAGACAAAGGCAACAAAATGGTATTCAATGTACCCTGGGGGTCGCTTAACTTGCGGCCTCCTGCGGCATTGCAGACGGAGCCTAGTCCTGGAGACGACGAGGCGATGGTCTGTCCAGGCATCAGCGTCATAATCATACCCTGCCGGTCTCGCCGCCGAACGAGAACATGGAACAGATGCTACCAACACCGCGATCGGGGTGCACTCAGGCCGCAGGAAGCGTCGCGGCCGGTGGTTTCGTGAGGACTCCGCGCTTCTCTCCAGACAGTACGATCTCTGCCGACGCGGACGTTGAAGTCACCAAGAACAGTCAACTTATCCGCTTTCGGAACAGAGGCGAGGAGAGTAAAGTTTTTTTTTAGAACTTGGACTTCGTCTTGTCTGAGCCGATTTGCATTTTTTAAGCAACAGAAACGTCTTTCTCATATTTTCTTCTGTGACGTCGATGTTCTCCATCACTCAGTCGTTTGTTCCAGCCGGGATGTCTACCTGGTCAGTGTCCACTTAATCAATGCAAACAGGGGCGACAAAACAGCCTAGGTCTTTTGCCTTATCATCATTTTTGCAATGTCTTGTTTGGTTTCTCCATTTAACAGTAGGACCGCCTCCCTGCTCTCTAGCACGCTGTTTATGAAGTTGGCGAGTATTTTTTGACTTACCCTTCCTAAAATAACCCTTTCGTACTCCTTCCGTGGTACACAGATATTCGATCCTATCTCGTTCGGGATACAGTGGAGGTCTTTGCAAGACTTGCTATGTCGCCGCATGCCTTTATCAAAGTCTGTCCTTTCTATTAATCTCTCTCCATATGTCTAGCATTTACCAGACATGGAAATTAGTATTCTGGACTCCTTTTGTCAGGCCATTACGGTGATATCACTAAAAAACACAGTAACATCACAGTTCAGTTCATTGATGCCGTTGTTTGTGTACGTAGGGAAGAAAGATGAGTCAAGAACAGGGTCTCAGGGAGCACCGCTCTTAGATGCGGCTTCTGATGACTGTCAATTACTGACTTGAAAAATTAGAGAGCCTCCCATTAGCAAACTTCAAATCAACATCAGAAGCTCTCACTTGCGCTTATACGGTTAAGCTTGCAAAGGAGGTAGAGGTGAGACACACTATCCAAGGCCACATCAAAGTCGGCATAGGCTACATGCACTGTATTACCTCCCTTCAACTCTCGGATTCCAGTGTTCTAAACAAAAAGTGCAGGTTAGTAACACAGACACCAAATATATGGCATTCACGCTGGGTAACGGAAGAGGACTGCTTTGTTCAAGGGAATTGTTGCTTGATTATCTTTTTTAATAATTTTGCATCAAATACATTTTAAGTCTACTTGTCCGTAACCGGTCGTTAAGGTCCGACTTCCGTCCTCATTCATAGGTCTAATCTATGTCAATTACCATTCGGTTGGCAGTCAGTTTGACTCGAAAATGCATGGAAAAACGCAAAAAGTTGCCATACCAACTTGCCGGAGAGCACCTTCAACATCAGTTCTTTTGCATAAAACTTGGATTGAAAAGGAAATAATGACAACGGCCACCGGAAATAATTGAATTAAAGAGCAAAAACAATTAAATTTAGAATGGACAAAAATAAATGTACAGACTCGCGGTAAATAAAGCCTTCTCTAGAATCGTTGGCCGTAGAGTGAATGTTTTGGGTAAAATCCCGAAACTAAGTCAGGTCAGTCAAATATGGCCGAAAGATATAAATGTTTCGTGTCGATTGACCAAAAACGATTGAGGTGAATGAGTGCAGTCAACGAAAGAATGACACCAAGCAGCAGGGGGATACAAACGCCACGCCTTTTCTCGAGCAGAAACCAGGTTTGTGTATTTTAGCTAATTTAAACAACCGCACAGAAACGTTCAGGTGTACAAAAATGTTCAGAGTGAAAAATCAAAATGTACGTGAACATACAGACCTAATCACAGGCTCATTACCCGTTAATTTCAGAATCAGAAAAATTTTTGAAATACCCCCCTATGGCAGGCGGAAGGAATTAATTTCTCACAGCGAGCCGAATCTTGTGAGATCCGATGCACAGAGCTTTTGTCTCCAGTTTTCCTAGATATGTGGTTATGAAATTTCCCTCTTCTTAAACATAATTTTCTTCATTAATGGCAATGACGAATCTCGTCTTTGCAAAACACTATACACTTCGCACGAACCAATTTCTTCCATTCGTCCGTGCTCAGATTGGTTTTTCAAACCACTGATATCTCCTATGAAATAATTACAAAACAATCGAACCGCTTAACCCGGCGCTGATCACGAATGGGGGGGGGGTCACCCAGACCCAATTCTCAAGAACGTATCAGGCGTTTCCTGGTTTCTTGACCATTTAATCTCAATCTGTCTCTCCAGCGCACTCGATCGTGCAGGCTTTAAGTCAGAAGGTCCTTCTAACGTTAATAACCATGAAAACGCGCGTAAAATTTAATTTTTTGCAAAACTTCACGAAAAAAGTAATTTCCAATGAAACGCTTTCTGTGTTCAACATTATCCAGCACATAAAAGGGAGAAAAGTAGGTTTCTGGCTTGACAGCCAAATTCTGGGCTCTAACCAGTGTAACTTTTTACCGTAAAGATCTTAATACACTTCTCAGCTGACCTCCTATAACTTTGTCCCTCAGGTTTTAATGGGTATCAGTCGGTGGTGGTTATCTTTCATTACCTTGGTAGGGCCTTCTACGTGGCGCCATATAGGCGTCTTTTAGTAAGGCTAGAAGTCCTCTGCATCTGACCTCTTCTTCTCGACAACATTGAGTCCTGCCTATCCAACGGCTGTCAAAAGGTTATGGCTAATAACTCATATTTGTCATCTCACCAGATTACGAGCCGCCGCACTGCAAAGCACAGTTCTGGATCCGCAGCAGGACGATATTTAGACATTCGTAATCCTCCGTTTATGATAATGATCTTAATTACTGTGCAAGGATTTACCGTACTAACAGCACAGGTATTAGCTAAAAGCCCAGACACGCGTGTTTCGCCGATCTTATGCCGCTGTCTGGCGCAGCTGCGAGGGGCTCGGCTCGTCAGTGGGTCCCCCAGCTTTCCCCGTGTGTTTTTCTGGTATGTGAACTTAATTAATTTTTATTCATTTTCTATCGACAAGGAAAAGGCTTGCGCTAAAAAATTAATTTGAACAAATAATTTCTGTCGAAACTGAGTTTGACATGGGGGCGGATTTTTCTTCGCATAAGTGTATTTTCATGCGCTAAGCCCCCGCTAACCCCCTCTTTCCATACTCTTTCATGCTCACCCATTTGTAGAATGTCCTATCGTATAGCATCTTCGCCTTACTTATACGAATAAAGTTGCCTTATAACTGTATGAGGATTGAATTTATTTATCTCTTAATTTTCTCCTGGAAATAAGGCCAAGACTTTGTGGCATATATGCTTTTCCATATTCTCGAATATTACTGTTCGTTCTTTAACCTGTTACCAAAAAAATAGAAAATGATCGACAAGATTTTATCTTAATATTTTCCTTTCGTGTTGAATCCGATATTCATAACACCTTAAAATGCCTGTTGGCGGGCAAGGACGGTCTTTGCTTCGTGTTCTGCAGTGATTTTGGCGTAATATTCCGCCACTGGGTGAACTTTCTGAAAAACCACTTCTCTATAGTTACTCTACAGCCTCTTTGCTTTGTGTCTCAATGTTCCCATTTGGAATCAGGTACATTTCCTTTGAAAATAATCTTTAACGTAAAGTAGGTGCGTCCATTAGATTGTCATATCCAAAACA